AGTAGATAAAGTTTCTGTAAAAAAAAATAAATAAATAGAAACATTGACCAGAAGTTAGAGGTAGACAGACAATCAAGTTTGTGACACATATGTAGAGAGAAATAACTTTGAAATGTTCAAGTTTGTTGTTCGTCCTCTTCCACGAGGTGGTCACTTGAGACGAATGACGATACGAGAATTTTTTACACAAATATTATTTTTTTTTAAAAAAATTACTCAATTAACCACTGTGCAACTTTATTTACAGAGATAGAACCATTTATTGTTTAAGCTCAGAATTCGGTTCCCGGGGAACCGAATTCTGAGTTGCTTTTATATATATATTTTTTTTTCGCGTTTGCAGGGGAAACGTGGGCAGATGTTGGAAGCAGAACGACCCGTTCCGAAATCAGAACGGGCCGTTCTGCTTAAGGGAACAAAGTGGCATTTGTTAAAGTGAAACGAGCCAAGAACGGCCGTTCCAAAGTTAAGAATTAACGTTGAAATAGATGTTGGAAGCGGCCCGTTTTAAACAAAGTTTTTGGTAATATTTTTTAACGTGGAACGGGCCGTTCTTGTTTTAGAACAGCCCGTTCCAAAATAGAAATTTACACATTTTTTTACTCCTGGAACGGCCTCGGAACGGCCCGTTCCAGGAGCTGTTTTTACAAAGTTTTTGTGATTTGGAACGGGCCGTTCTGGTTTTGGAATGGCCCGTTCTGGGTAAACAGTAAAAACTTGCATTTTTCTATAAATAGACCCTCTCCCCTTCATTTTTTTCACACGATTTCAGATTAGTTTCTCTCCTTTATTCCTTCCGTGTACCCCTTTTGAATCAGTTTCTTAGAATCACGTTCCTTTAAACCTTTCATAAAATGGCTTCTTCAATCTACGTTATTGTTCATTCTGATGGTTCCATTAACCAATGTCCGAATGAAGGAATCACCTTCTCTTCTCCATCTGCAAAATTAGTTCGTATCAACAGAGGAATTACTCTAGAAAGGCTTCAAAGAGTCATCCACAGAAAGCTACATCGACAAGATTCTGAGAGGGTGGCTAGCATACATTTTCGGTACCCTATTAGACTTGGCCCAGGGGTTAGTAACTATACCTGTGTTGAGTTGACGGATGATGAAGACGTTGAGGCACTTTTCAATGTTCACGATTCTAATCAACTTCAATCAGGTATTGAATTATATGCTACATTTACTACAGTTGAATCACATGCACCACAAGTTTCACCTTCACGTTCACCTTACGAA